CAGTCTGAGGTCCTCGTGTCATCAAGGCCCACAGGTGAGGTGATGACCCACTTTGAGGAGATGGATCATCTCATAAGAGTTAGCCATTAGGAATTTACTATTTTAGTCCCCTCAAACCAATCTGCAGAGAAATGATGTGCCTTATTTCTGACTTTACAAACACTAGAACAATTCCCTTGTCCTTCAYAAAGTATCTCTTACTGACCGATGTATAACCTCAGGTAATTAGGTAGATTCCTTAATGGCAAATAGCCAAGATTGGTCTTTAATCTCAAGGGAAAGAATAGTGACAGAGCTTTTAAAAGATTTTCAGGTAATTCATAGAGACATTACATCCCTCATTACAGTCATCCTAAATGCAGCAGAATTGACTGAGCTGGAGTTTCTTGAATTAAATGAGATACAACATAAAGCAGGCTGAACAGCCCTTTCCYAAGCACCTCCCGTTTCCTACTCAGCCTCCTCAGACAGGTGATAAACGCAATCTCTCCATTTATTGGGTCATATTTCATCAAACACAAATGTATGTGTCACTATACATCTGTGAGCGCCCTAGATGGCCTCTCCAGATTGTGCTAAYGGGGCTGCAGCACAGCAGATCCAGCTCAAATCTCCATTAAGCAGGACTTGGGACAACAAGGGATGCTGACACAGGGAAACAGTTTCATTTGGCAATTAATTCAGGGTCTATGTGGAAAAAGAAATGATCCATTTCTTAAGAAGACCTCTCTAATTTACTTCTCAGCTAAACAGCAAAGCAGTTTCTTTTCTGACCTCAAAGATCCTGGGGTGAGCAAATCCCTGAGTCAATACCTGAGGTAATTCACCCCAATCTATGATTGGCTCAGACCTACTTCAGGGCTAAACAACAGAGAATACTCCCAGACTGCAAGATTCCAACTGGGCTGGTCATACCAGAAACCTAATATGCTGCTTTGCTAAATCGAGCAATCTAAAGTCACTTTTATTTCTTTACTACTGCAATTGCTTTTGAAGGTCCTGACATTCATCCTACAGACCATGAAAAAGCAAGAACCTAGAGCAAGTCAAGAACACAAGAAACCAGCTATTGATAGCCTCTGAATTCTAAATTAAAAATACTCAAAATAAAAAGTAAATAGTTGATAAACTATTTAACAGCTCAAGGATTAGCCACAGAATTATCCAAACACTTATAACAAATTTATAAATCTATGAATAAAATCATAAGTCCCCCTTAAGCAATTTATAAAGCAGAAAAATAACATGTCAATTATTTGCTGTAAAAAATGTTTTCTACTTTAGCTTCTACTTAAGCAGCTGCAAAAATAAATAGCTTAACAGCCTGCAACCATGTTAGTTTGGCACGACTGCATTTGAATTTAACTCTTAACAAAAAGAAGTTACAATTTAGGTTCACTTTCATTTCAGAAAAAATGAAGGCAAATACTTTTTTTTGTCTTTATACTTATAAAGCAGAGGGCATGTACCTTAGTGAGAACAGCCTACAGCATGTAAATCTGGACTGAAGGAATTGCAGAAATGCTTCGGTTGTCCCAGGCTGATCACCAGGATTCAGTGAGAGTCAACTCAGGATTCAAAAATTCCTGCTTATCAAGGATGAGATGTTCACTAGATGTGCCCTATTTCAAAGTTCAGTGAGGGTTCAGACACACATCCAAACTTTGTCTCAATTATTAAAACAGAGTAATGACTAAATCCGAACCCATTTCACATCTTGTTAAATGTAAATGTTGGRCCCAACCATCAAAAGCTTATTTTAGAAACCTCTTGGGACAGAAGTACAAAGCAGAGGCAAAACTGCAGGATTGGGSATTTTGATGAACAGGAAAAATGGGAAAATGGATAGGGAACAACTAAGGAATTACATCAAGAAGCAGCTGAGATTTATTTCAGAAAAAAACAGTAGACTTCAAAGAGAAAGTTAATGGTAAAATGAATTTTGTGGGGAAACMTCAGAGAAGCTTGATAACTTTTAACACTTATGAATCAGTATTGCCCATTGTGCAGATCAGCTCTAATAYTTTTGCCATACAAACTGAACAATTCCAGCCATAAAAATGAGTCAGTTAATTATACATGCATATTTGTATGTAAAAGAGGTGGRAGTATGTGGTTATTTTTCAGATTATGGTCAGATCTACAGTTCTAGAATTGCATAGCTGATAATATTTCTATGCTTTAGATATACAGTGGAAAACATGTGGACTGATTTTACTTAATCAAACAATTTAAAGTTTGAACTGCTTTCTCATTTAGCTAACAGCATATAATAACCATTAGAATGAGCCATAAAGTTATCATCTTATTTGCATGAATATACCATAGTAGAGAAATGAAAGCATTCCAGATTTACACAGTCATTGAGAGGAAGATCAAGTCCACAGTGTATAAACATTAAAAAGACCCTAATTAGAATCAAGTATTTTTGACAATTTTATTTCCAGCTAATTAGCACTGATGTTTTAGTACCAGAACCTGACTGCACTGTATTCCGCAATAAGGATGATTCATATCTACATTCAAATAAATAATTCAGCAAAGAAAGATGCATAGAAGTGCTTTTGTTTATAGTGCTGTCAAAATGGGGAAAAATAAAAGTTAATCGTCATCCTCTTTTAACAGGTTGAGACTAGACTAAGTGCTATTTACAGGGAATCAGCCGCCCTGCAGACTGGGAATAATTAGGCCCCAGAGAAGGTTCCTTGYGATCTGACATGTTAAGGCCAATTTCTGGTGTGTCCATACACTCCCACATCTGCAAGGGGAGAGAAACTGTGTACAACTGGGAAACTGCAGCTACAACAGTGTCATTATGTGACATGTTTGGGTGGCTGCCTTTCCCATGACTCTAAAAGGGAGATAGAGGTTCTGCTGGMACTATGGGGGAGAGCCCTGCCCTCTATCCTCTGGGGGAAAATGGTGATGCACTTGCACAATGCAGTACCCGAAACCAGAGTCGAGTGCCAGGACTGTGCTCCACCCTGAGGATTCTGCCACACTCCCATGCAGGGAAAACTGCTGCCAGAATATCCCACACCTGCTGTCAGAATGCAAAGGTACATGGAATTTGCAGGTATAAATACAACAAAATGGGATTGCTGMACTTGGAAATGTGTATTTTCAGTATTTGCATGTACTGTACACATGTAAAACTGTAAAGGTTACACATAAAAGCCTCAATATTTAATGCAGAATCTGTAGATTAAGTGGCCTGGAAGTACATTAACCACTGAGAAACACTTCACAGCCAAACCCTAGAAATATATTGRTAGTAGGAAGTAGAGAATCCTGAAGAACTCTTGTGCACAAAAGAATTGCTATATCTAAGGTTATTTTAAGAAAGAAATGATCTTTAGGAATGGCTGCTATCAGAAATGGCACAGAGAGAAAAAAATAAAACATCAGAGGCAGTCTGAGATTGCTACAAAGGAGAGGACAGGCMATTCAAAATGTGGAAGATCTCTCTTCTTTTTGCTTCACTACACACACTGCCTCAGAGGACTGGCTTAATCATTCATATCATTGTTTATAAAAGTATTCATCCTTCAGAGGCTCCCATCCTTGCACAACAGCTGGCCAGGCTGTTCAAATGTGTAGTTATGGAGATCAATACCATGGGATGAAAAAATCTGGGGGGGTTGCCCCATTTTGCAGCCCCACAGCTGCCATCAGGTACCCTGTGCATCAGAAGATGCTCCAACCAGCAGCGTGCAGGTTCTTACACATCCTGAGGAGCAGGGGTGCATTGCAGTTACCATTGGTTCTGTTTGCTGGTAAAACCAGATAAATGTGTAACCAGCAGCAGCTGCAAAATGGAACTGTATTTTACACTCCAAATTTCTATCACTCTGTATAAACCATCTCAATGAGTACAAACAATTGTAATGCCCTTCCTTTTGCTCCTCTGTTAGTAGTAATGTACTGACTTCAGCCAGAGTAACAATCCAGTATGTGAATACACTGAAGGTGAAGTTTCTCTTCCCTTATCACAGCCCTGCTTTGGGCCAGATTTCCAGCTGGTGTAGGCTAGAGAACTTCACTGGACTAAAAGAATGGCACTGACTTATGGTAGCTAAGGATTGCTGCTCTGTTAAGTATAAGAAGGAGGAAAAGGGAAATTTATTAGTGCAGTTACTTTAAAAGGCCAATTACAATTTTATGAGAGGAAAAGCTTCAGCAGTTTTAGTTATTTACAATCTAACAACCATGCTATGAATTTAATTGATATAAACTTTTTCTCCCACCAAAATAATTAACACTATAAACAATAAAAATGAATTGAGTGTGGATCAAGACAGTTTAGAGTAGACTGGTGGTATTTTCCATTTAGTGAAGCCTTTATTATTACCGTTTTAATGACCCAAGCTTAGACATTCTGCTTCCTTTTACCATATGTCACTTTTATTCTGCCCTTCTGGATACRTGTGTGGAAAAGAGCAGGCCTGATATATATGGGAAAAGTTAGATCATTCAATTAATTAAAGCCTTCTTTTTTACATAGCTAACATTCATCAAGTGGGAAATCAGAAATGAAYTCTAAACCAATAATAAAGAATCAACAGCATTAATTAGACCTTCAATAATGAGTGACAGTAATAACCCCAGAGAAAAAATTTCATTTTAACCACAGTAGGTAAAAGCTGATGCAATAAACTTGTGGTTTTGGTTCACYAGTAGAGAATCACATACCTCACCTGCTATCTCACCTGAGGACAGTAAAGTCTCTGCTGAAGTATCAGACAAGGTACCAGATTTGCAAGCAGTGACTGATTCTGTTGGATGGAGTAATTCAGCTCCTTCATTACTCCTAGAGAGCTGACTTAGTAACCAGAGTCTGATTTCACACCAGTTTAACACATCAGKAACATTTCAGTAGTATAATTCAATCTCAAACTGTGCCTTCACTTACACAGATAGCCAGYCAAGGTGAAAAATCAGGCCAAAAAGACAATTCCAGAAGCAAGGTAGCTATTGCCTGGAGACAGAAAGGCACATACCTCCCACATATCCATGCTCCACAGAGAGATTCGTTCCATCCATTCACCCAGACCAAGCAAATCCACAAGAAGAAGAAGCATTGTGCTTCAGGGACGGATCCACAGCATAATGGAGCTAAGGTCCATCCCCTCTGCCATGAGCCTATTAGCAAGCAGCTCCTACTGCCTCGGGGGAAGAGGGAAAGTGGGGATAAGACAACTCCACCACACACACACCTACCTGCTGCACCAGCAGGACAGGCAGGACCAGGGCACAGCACGACTGGAGCCAAGATATGAATCAGTTCCTCTCTATCCAGCCAGCTACACCTACTTCTCCTTCCTCCCTTACTTATTTCTGTARCTGTTACCCTAAGCTGCTAGCCCAGCATTATGCTTTTGGTAACTCCATCATGGATTGGGAGGGAGGCAAAGGCATCAGCCCTGTGGCTGCAGCTCCTTCCCCAAGCACAGCCGTTCCCTGAGCTTCCCCTGCCACTGCTGCACAAAGCAGTCTAATCCCCGAAGGGAAGAAGAGCTTGCAATCCCCAGTAGCAATCCCCAATTTATTTTGAGCAGGCTCCAAATGCAGCAGAGCTCCATTCTTTTTTTTTTTTTTTGCAAGATCCAGTCAGCTAGTCATTAAAATTGACTGGGCCTGGCTGCTGGATTCTGCTTGCATGCATTTTGCAAAGCAGCCATGGCAGCTCCTCATTTGCTCCTCTGTGCAAATGCTAGCAATTACAGCTCACACAGACATGAAGTGTAGGTGTGCAGGCTTCATTAGAGCTGAAAAGATTTAAAGACAAATATTTTCCTTTGAGAAAACCAATCTGAAACCATACTTCAGACACTTGCTTGGACAGGTTCCCTGTGCTAAAAAGAGTTATCCACACTGCACTGTGCTGGAAATCTTTAMGGAGAATAAAAGAATCAAGAGCTTAGAGCAAGCTTTAATTCCAAATGCACCACTGATGTCTATATTCCTGTGATCCCTTGACACATTTCTTTAACCAGCCAGCTGGGACTGCAGCCAGGCCAGCAACATTTAGCTCCAGACTAGAGGAAAAGCTATTTGCACATTCAGCCCTCTGCTGTAGATCAGCAGCACTAATAGTTATCGTTATGTTATATATAACAATGAATTAGAGCTCCAACATTAACGAGCTTTTAGCAGATGCTTTCATTAGRCCCTACTGCAGTGAGTCTGAAACCAAGCAAAATGCTGGCACCTGTCTCCTGTGAGCTGACTGTTACAGTTCTATACAGTCAGCCTACTGTCCTTTAAAGCAAGAGGAGAGGTATTTTTGAACACCTTTGATCAAGCTTTTCTTACTTTTTGCAGAAACAGCTGAAAATAAGGAGTGTCTAGTGCCATGACATCCTTTCCCCTCACCTACCATTTGCACTGACTGATTCCAGAGAAGAAAACTCCTTGGCTGATGGCAGAAATCCTGCCACATCATTGAAGCTAGTGGCACAATCCGAGTWTATGTGCTTGAAAATTTGGCTTGATAAGGATTTATCTACGACACCAAAATGTGATCCTGGGTAGCAATTTGCCTCCTCTAGCTAAAATTTAAAACAATTTAAAACCTAAAGTAAAATTTGTTTAAAACACTAAAACAGAAAATGTATTTTTTTTTCTTGAACAGACCCCATGTGGAAACTTCTGAAGTCTGAATCTTTATAAGCAGATTAACTTTGGCATCTCCCACCATGAAACAGGAATATTTAAATCTAAAAATAGTATGCTAAAGCTGTTTTAAGTTGGATAATTCTGCCRGAGGTGGCTTTCATTTCATCTAGCTCTACCTAATTTGCTACAGCTAAAACCTATTTGAGACATGCTGAGCAAAACGGACAAGCAAAGCATCCCCTTGTCCACAGCTTAAAACTCCACTTTAAATCTTGCAAGTCATTGCACACATCTTGTCCTATATTTAAAAGGTCACATTTGACCAAGCTGTCATTAATCACACATCCTCAAAATTTAGTCAATTGGTAGAGAGATTATATTAGTAGCTTTCTGTAGCACCATGCAAATCTTTTTGCCCTAGTTCAGCTKCTTTCCAACAAAGCAAGTCAGTTTACAGCAGAAAGGTGAAAAGCTAATGCTCATCTGTTAGAGGAGACAAATATAGGAGATGCCTCTTCTTTTTGTTTTCCTACTTAAAGATCAAGGAGAATGTACATAGATATGGGGAGGCTGATGTTTAATTATACAATAGCTGTGGGGAGATAACAATCTCTTTGAAGTGGTTTAAGTTCTGCACCACTTTCTCAAGTGAAAAAGGAAGGAAGATACTTATCATTTTGAATGATGCCAGCTTAGATGTGGGGGAGGAGACAAGGGGGAAGAATGTCACACTGAGGAAAATATATATTCAAATTGATTAATAAATGTAAACATATCATTAGATTAAATAGCAGGTTAGTTTCCTGACAGGTAGGTTGTCAGGAGGAAAGAAAAGAAAGAAAGGAAGATCACAAAACCCAAACAAACAGCTGCTAAAATACTAGAGTTATTTCTAGAGCTTGTTTCCATTTGTGTGGGAGAGAATCCTTCCATCAACTGGATACAGCAAGAGCAAGCCCTGGGTTGTTTTCTGCAGTTCTTTGTGTCAGTATTAGTTAGCCAATTCCTACTTTATTCAATTTATGCCCAATTAAAACTAGATTTTAGCCACAAAGTGGTTCCTCTCCCCTGTTCAGGATTAGGTGTGAAGTTCTTTCATGAGGGGTTTCTTGTTTCAAGAATATTCTGGCCTGGGGTAGGTAGGGACACCTTCCTGCTACCTAGAGAAAGATTGTATTTTCAGCTTTGGAAATATTYAGGAATAATCAAGAAGTAAATTCTGCAAGTTAATCAAAACTGGCAAAATAAAAAAAAATATAGATTTTAGATTAATATCTTTTTGAACAGAGCAGGCAGAGTACAATGACTGAGTTTTCTTCCTTCCACTAAACTCCTTCATAAATGTGTATTCTTAGTAGGTAGACTATAGGTAGGTCTACCTACCTTAGTAGGTAGACTATAAACTTTGAAACAAACYTTCAGAAAAGAGAAAATCGACCAAGACCAAGAACACAAAGAAATGAAATTAATTCCATTCTCTGTTACTTACTGAAGGATCAGAAGTGTCCAGCTGTGAATCTCTCTGTTCAAAACCTCATACAATTTTTAGGCATAAGGATGGTGGAATGCAATAAAAAATATGCACTGATAACCTAAGCAATTAAAGCATTGCCAATAAAATTACCCAGTTGACTAGCAGCATTACAGCAGAAGGAGAAGGGAAATATGGAAATTTAAGTACAATATGTGAGAGGACATAAATAGTGGTACCTTTTCTTGAGGGTTCCAGGTCTGATCACATAATCTTCAGCTACTGCTTACAGAATTTTGGCCCTTCCCATGACACGTATATTTATTTAATCTTACATTCCAGGTGTAAGATAAACATGTAAGAATATACATGTTTTAAAATGAAATGTTACTTAATTTTAAAAAAAGTTATTTATTAAATAACATATAATTTCTACATATCATATGACATGCATGGTTGGATTATCATAGCAATAACTTCCACTTATCTCTGTGTACTTGCAAATACTCCGTAGAGACCAATAAAAGGACATATGGCATAATGGCACCTCTTCATCTGTAATCATTTTAGTGGTACATATTAAAGTAGTGAAGGGAAACTGAGGACTGGTAAAAGATGACCCCTTTAATACAGACATTTGCTTTTCTCTTTCAGAAAAAAATGAGTACTGCAAAAGAGGGTACCTTGTTCATGATGGTCTATATAATCTTGCAAGGGGGTACAGCTTTAGGAAGCACTGTGTTTTGACAGCAAAACTGGCTTAAGAAGTTTTACCTTCCCTTTTCTTTCATAGCTCAAAAGTCCTTTACAGTCTGGGTTAAAAATAACCCTTTTATTTGATATCACAACAGAAATTTCTTCTCAGTATGCGTACACACACAAGTATGCTCTGTTCCCACCTTGGAAGGTTTACTTTTGGAACTATCTCATCCCATTCCAGCAGAACATCTGGTTACCCCCTATCTGGAAAACACAGCTTTGTTTCTGTGGCTCAGAGGCAGGCAAAACTTATGAAAGCATCTAACAGGCAGTGAAAATTGAATCCAGAATTAGATCTWCAGTTAAATTTTCCCAAATTTTTGAGAGCTGTCTGGATCCAGGGAGTTATGACTGTAGGCCAAACACCAAGGTTCAGTGACTAAACTCACATATGGAATATGCTTTYAATTTAGAAACTGGGCCAACATCCAATGATGGCAATGAGGACACTCATTTCTACTCTTGTTCCGAGTGAAGAGCCAGTGAGTGTAAATAAGGGAACTATTTCTACTGCAACAATTCCTGTCTGCTGCAATCATGATAAGAGGTCACCATCTCGTGTCTGATACCAAGCAAGTATTGCCATCCCAAAATTACAGCTTTACTGGATAGCTGAGTCTCCAGCTTTTATCCCTGTAGGAGGCATCCAGACCCCCTGAACAGGTCACCCAGACTCTCCTCCCAACATCACAAATCCACAAAGAAACAGACACTGTCTGAGGAATGCAGCTTGAACATCAAACATCTCACAGAAATTCTCTGACTTAATTCTACCATCCAAATACAATCTCAAATAGTCAGTGCCTCAGATTGTCTAAGGAGCTGCACTCAATACCCAGACCTTCAGAAATGCCATTCTAGTGTGAAGCATGAGGCTGGTTTAATCTTCCTCAGAGCTTCTGGAYGGTGCATTTGTACAAATATCAGACAACATTATTATTTATTGCTTTCCAAACAGGAATAATTAGAATGTGTGTGTGTTATTTCTCATCAAGATGCACTCCAGGACTCCACCATGTATTCCTATGTGTCTACTCACAAAAAGTGGGGTTTGCTTATCACTCCAGATGTCTGGTGCAAAAGACATCTGATGCCCACTATAACCAAAAAACTGACAAAAAGGTCTATTGCCTCAAAATTTGCAYCTCCACAGCTGCCTAAGGAGTACCTTATTAACTCTTTTCATAACTCATCCCTCTAATGAAAACTGAAAACTTGATTCCAGTTGTTTTCCTACAGGTAATGGAATAGTATGGCTCCT